TATAATAATATATAATTTTTTGGGAGTCAGAAAACCTCGTCAGAAGAGGAGGAATGATGATCGATACAAAGGAAGTCCAAACTATGGAAGAAAAATGAGTTGTGTGGAGAGGAGGAAAAATAAATTGTGTGGAGAAGAGGAAAAATGAGTTGTGTGGAGAGGAGGAAAAATGAGTTGTGTGGAGAGGAGGAAAAATGAGTTGCTAGGAGAGGAGGAAAAATGAGTTGTGTGGAGAGGAGGCTATTCTTCATACATAATGCAAAAAGTGTCTGATCACATAAACTTATCTGAATCAAAAAGGTTATACAAAATGGCTGCACAAATGTATTAGTAAAAGATCACTTTAAGGCTTCTTTTCAAGTATACCTTTTGATATTGTCCACCAATGGTCCATAGTTGGGGTCATTTAGAATGCACTAACATTCAAGATAACATTGTTAAGCAAAATAATTATGCAGCATGCATTTTCTGCAGTGCTATAAATACTGCACTCTGTCTATAACTTAGACTAAATAAATGTAATATTATAATTGTACAATGTATATTAAACTTGTTACCAGACTGTCGATCTCTGCTGGCTTTTTTTTTTCAGAAAAATGCCCTGGAAATGAGTTTGCATTGTATAATAAAATTAGTACCTGCTGTATTTCATATGCCATTGTTTTGTCCTCAAGCAAGCTTGGATCTTTGATAATCTGACTGACCACTGCTCTAGGAGCTAATRAGCAAGTGCAAGGTGAAGAGAAATTTGCTTTTCATCACAGTTCATTGTGTTACTAACTTACCATTTTCTCCATTGTAACATGTGTGTGCCAGATGTCTCTCTAATACAATACGGGCAAACAGCGCATGAGAGAGGTCAACCTTAAAAATAAAATAATTGTAGATAAATTGAGCTGACTGCAAATTCAGTTTCTATCAAATGACTAATAATAACTACAGTTTACATACCTCTTCTGCAATTCTTAACATAACAGGTTCATYAGATTTTTCTGAGATTCCTTGCAGATACCTATAATATCATAGAAAATCTAATTCATTAAGGCGTGGATTTCACTAGCGCACGAAGCACGAGAGTCATATGCGCCAGTGAAAACGGGCTCAAAATAAGCATAAGCATGAACACAAGAAAAATGAGCAAGGCTTGATCTTCTTGTACTTATCTCACGCTTATCTCATGCTTACACTCAGTGAGATTGGGACTGCATATATAGGCATAAGCATGGCCTGGTACTGTAAAACAATACGCTTGTGCACATGCTCAATGTCTTATGCTTATGTCGAGCCAGTTCTAACTGGCACATATGATTCACATGCTTGTGCTTGTGTTATGCTTATGTGCTAGTGAAATCCAYACTTAATTGAAGATGATGACACTGGTAAACCTTTCAACTTATTCACTAGTTATTATCTACAAGGCAGTAATTTTTTACTGATTTTTTCTACTTGTGTTTTTTTGTTTGTTAATTCTTGTTTGCACTGCTTTCCTAGCATCCTCTATTTGCTTTACTGGGAATTTTTGGGGAACTGTTTGGAAGGGACACAAGGAGATCCCAACAAACTTGCTATACAGGCTCATTTTTAAATCTGAAGGGAATCATTGTATTGCCAGATTTCAAGCCGAGTGGGGACTGGGCAAAATCCCCTAATTGGATAATCACGAGATAAGACTTACATAGAAAGAAAGCCTTCGTTGAGAAATGCAAAACTCCAAAATCTGGCGTCAATCAGTTTAATATTGAACGAGTTACGGCCTTTCAAATATTCTAAAATTTCCAAAGAAATGTATGGGAAGCCGTGAATGTGTCCGCATTTTGAYCATTTTCCGGACACATTCTCGAGATCACATACATTTCTCTGGAAATTTTAGAATGTTTGGAAGGCTGTAACTCGTTCACTATTGAACTGATTTACATCAAATTTTGGAACTTTTGAACATTTCTCAACAAGTACTTTCTTTCTATGTAAGTCTTATGTCATGACTATCCAATTAGGGGATTTTGCCCAGTCCCCACTCGGCTTGAAATCCGGCAATAAAGGACGTATAGTGGTAACTCTATAGATTCACCTGTTGTAGTATTCCTCCATCACTTCWGGTTTATGATGGCGATGATGATTTTTTCGAGTTTTTTTCTGTGGGGGGATTTGGAAAGGTGGTTCAATAAGCAACACTTTCCTACGTATCAATTATATAATTCACACTTCTAAAGCAACATATCTTACCTGATAATCTTGGGAATAGATACTTATAAGTGTATTATATGTCACTCTTGAATAGAAATAATATCAACTTGTCAAACAAACACATTCTAAAGTATAAGCTTATTTTACACAAAAAAAATCATCTAATTTACCCTGTAAATTGCAGTGCAATTRCTTTAAGGCAATCCCGAGAGCCATCCTTATGCATAATAGACAATATTTGGTTGTAAACTTCAAGTTTCATGCTAAAATGAAACAGTAAACTAKA